AGAGAGCGAGAGAGAGAGAGAAAGAGAGCGAGAGAGAGAGAGAACGAGAGCGAGAGAGAGAGAACGAGAGAGAGAGAGCGAGAGAAAAAGAGAGAGAGAGAGAACGAGAGAGAGCGAGAGAAAAAGAGAGAGAGCCAGAGAGAGAGAGTGCGAGAGAAAGAGAGCGAGAGAGAGAGAACGAGAGCGAGAGAACGAGAGAGAGAGCCAGAGAGAGAGCCAGAGAGAGAGAGATCGAGAGAGAGAGAGAGAGAGCGAGAGAGAGCGAGAGAGAGCGAGAGAGTGCGAGAGAGAGCGAGAGAGAGAGAGAGAGAGAACGAGAGAGAGAACGAGAGAGAAAGAGAGCGAGAGAGAAAGAGAGCGAGAGAGCGAGAGAGAACGAGCGAGAGAGCGAGAACGAGCGAGAGAGCGAGAGAGAACGAGCAAGAGCGAGGGAGAGCGAGAGAGAGCGAGGGAGAGAGAGAACGAGAGAGAGCGAGAGAGAACGAGAGAGAGCGAGAGAGAACGAGAGAGAGCGAGAGAGAACGAGAGAGAGCGAGAGAGAGAGAGAGAGAGAACGAGAGAGAGCGAGAGAGAGCGAGAGAGAGAGAGAGCGAAAGAGAGAGAGAGCGAAAGAGAGAGAGAGCGAAAGAGAGAGAGAGCGAAAGAGAGAGCGAGAGAACGAGAGAGAGCGAGAGAACGAGAGAGAGAGAGAGACCAAATTCTAAAAGAGTATAATGTCTTACTGTCAGTGCACTGCAACACAGAACTTTCCCCTCTGTGGGACATATGAAGGTTTGTATCTATACTGGGCTAGGGTTTCTCACTCTTTCCCCACTGTGTTCCTGAGTGGTTTCTCTCTGATGCAGCAGGGTCCGAGGACAGGGATGATCCTGGACCAATGGCTTCTGCAAGTCATGAAAAATATGTCAAAAAATGCTCAAATTTGGCAAAATGTATCTTTAAAGCACATTCTTGAAATAGATTTGGGACGAAATTATCTTTTTTTTTTTTTTAAATGTCTCCTGGGAATTAGAAAATAAAGCAACAGTTTTTGAAATAAGAATAAATGTCTTTGTCCCATTTGAGAATCTGGTTTGAAGAGTCAGACTGTGCTCAGATTGAGATAAAACAAAACAAAAAACACTTAATTCAAGAAAATCTAACCTCATACTTTATCATTTTTTGCAGCTTTTGGGTCTGATTCTCTGTTGATGGTGAATCCTCTGAGACGACTGCAGCTGTGATTTAGGGCGAGACAAAGATAGATTTCATTTAAAGTGCTACTGAAATGTTCTAACAGGAAACTTGGAGAATTTACATTAAACTCTAAGATTCTGCTTCACTTTAATCTCAGCACTATTGAAAGTTTGAAGCCAAAATAAGGAGAGCTCTAAACAATGTACTCCGCTATGAAAGAGGGCTGTGAACTGTGAGACCAGGGAGAGACAAGAGAGAGAGACCAGAGAGACTATAGAGACCAGAGAGAGGTAAGAGAGAGACCAAAGAGAGAGAGAGAGAGAGAGACCAGAGAGAGAGAGAGAGAGAGAGAAACACCAGAGAGAGAGACCAGAGAGAGAGAGAGAGAGAAACACCAGTGAGAGAGAAAGAGAGAGACCAGAGAGGGAGACCAGAGAGAGAGAGAGAGAGACCAGAGAGAGAGAGAGAGAAACACCAGAGAGAGAGAGAGAGAGAGACCAGAGAGAGAGAAACACCAGTGAGAGAGAAAGAGAGAGACCAGAGAGGGAGACCAGAGAGAGAGAGAAACACCAGAGAGAGAGAGAGAGAGAGAGAGAGAGAGACCAGGGAGAGAAAGCAGAGGGACCAGAGAGAGAGGGACCAGAGAAAGAGAGAGACCAGAGAGAGAGAGAGAAACACCAGAGAGAGAGAAAGAGAGAGACCAGAGAGGGAGACCAGAGAGAGAGAGAGAGAGACCAGAGAGAGAGAGAGAAACACCAGAGAGAGAGAGAGAGAGAGAGAGACCAGGGAGAGAAAGCAGAGGGACCAGAGAGAGAGAGACCAGAGAGAAAGAAAAAGATAGATTTCATTTAAAGTGTGGTCAGAGCCATAGCTCACTCCCAAAGGCAAAGACCTCAAACCCGAGGCCCGCGGACAGAGGTCTGCCACGCCATTCTCAGCGGCCTCTAAAATGATCTTCACTGAATACAATTAGAATGTCAGGCATTAGTCTCAGAAAAATCTCCCAGAAAAAAATCTCCAAACTCAAGTTAAATGAAAGTCGTTCTTTGGTCAAATTACCTCCAAAAAGTCAAAAGGCATTTACAAATATCCACAGCTGAGATGAGCTTCAAACACTTTCAGCCCCCCGTCTCTCTCTTCTCACTCTCACTCTGGTATTTCTATGTTCTCTATATTTCTCTCTCTGGTCTCTCTCTCTCTGTTCTCTCTCTTTGGTCTCTCTCTGGTCTCTCTCTGTTCTCTCTCTATGTTCTCTCTCTGCTCTCTCTATGTTCTCTCTCTGGTCTCTCTCTTTGGTCTCTCTCTGCTCTCTCTCTGTTCTCTCTCTCTGGTCTCTCTCTGGTCTCTCTCTGTTCTCTCTCTCTGGTCTCTCTCTGGTCTCTTTCTGGTCTCTCTCTTTCTCTCTCTATGTTCTCTCTCTGCTCTCTCTACAGTATGTTCTCTCTCTGATCTCTCTCTCTGGTCTCTCTCTTTGGTCTCTCTCTGTTCTCTCTCTGGTCTATCTCTGGTCTCTCTCTTTGGTCTCTCTCTGGTCTCTCTCTCTAGACTCTCTCTTTGGTCTCTCTCTGTTCTCTCTCTGGTCTCTCACTGATCTCTCTTTCTCTCTCTCTGCTCTCTCTATGTTCTCTCTCTGCTCTCTCTTTCTCTCTCTGGTCTGTCAGTTGTTTAAATCCAGCCTCCGACCAAAGTTTGACAGCATGCCACTCCTAACTCAAGACGGTAAAAGTCAGTTTTTTACTGCAGAGTTACTTATAAATGCTGATCCTTGGTGTTGCTAAACCCTGCGCAGCTCTGAGATTTATGGCACATTCTGTCTCTCCTGCAGCTGGGACTGTGGAAGTGGCTTCGTTTGCACCTCTGAGAGTACAGAGTGAATAAATAATGCTCTGAAACTCTTTAGTATCTAGAAAGGTGCTCTATCAATCAAAATAACGCACTTCAGAGATGCCAACAGAGAGGTGGCTGCTACTGAAATGTTCTAACAGGAAACTTGCAGAATTTAAATTAAACTCTAAGATTTTGCTTCACTTTAATCTCAGCACTATTGAAAGTTTGAAGCCAAAACAAGGAGAGCTCTAAACAATGTTCTCCGCTATGAAAGAGGGCTGTGAACTGTGAGACCAGGGAGAGACAAGAGAGACCAGAGAGACTATAGAGACCAGAGAGAGGTAAGAGAGAGACCAAAGAGAGAGAGAGAGAGAGAGACCAGAGAGGTAGACCAGAGAGAGAGAGAGAGACCAGAGAGGGAGACCAGAGAGAGAGAGAGAAACACCAGAGAGACAAAGAGAGAGAGACCAGGGAGAGAAAGCAGCGGGACCAGAGAGAGAGGGACCAGAGAAAGAGAGAGACCAGAGAGAAAGAAAAAGCTGCTCCGCTCTGAAAGAGGACTATGATCTGTCTGTTCTGGAGCTTCTTTATGAATCCAGACTCTCAAATCCAGCTCTTAGAAAAATCAAAGATTCTTCAGGACCCTGGAAAAAGCCATATTCCAGCTTCTTCCTTTTGACAGAAGATTTCCTTGGGTTAGGATTCAGGACATCTGGATATGATGTTTATTTCTGCCACTTATACATTTATACACATTGTTCCAGAGCAGTGACTTTACAGCAGAAACAAAGGCGGTAAAGGCGTCGGCTGAAGCTGATGCTAATCTTACCTTTGCTTTTTACAAGTGTAATTAGCATAAGTGATAGTAAACAATAGAAACCCCTGAATCTCTCCAATGGGGACCGATGAAGAATCTAATCTATCTATCTACAACTACTAGGATTCTGAGTTCTTGTGGGCGTCCAAAGTCCAAATATCAGTGTGAACAAAGCCCTTTAAAGATCTTGCACTTGTTATTATTAAAGCTGTTTTTTTAGCTTGTTTTATTCATGTACTTGTCTGGTGCACACTGGGGACTTGTGCATGTATTCTAATGTGGTTTTACTGCAAATGGCAAAGAAACTGACCCTGAATCTTGGCTGGTCCTGCGTCTCTGCAACAGTATATTTGTCTAGAAGTGTTGTTCCTTTCTGGTAGAAGACGCTGAGGCTGAAGCAGAAGCAGCACTATGTGGACAACAGAACATTTTACAGATGGGCCGAGAGAGAATAGAGAGAGAGAAAGGCCAGAGAGAGAGAGAGGGACCAGAGAGACCAGAGAGAGACCGACCAAAGAGAGACCAGAGAGGGACCGACCAAAGAGAGACCAGAGAGGGACCAGAGAGAGACTGACCAAAGAGAGACCAGAGAGAGAGAGAGACCAGAGAGAGGGACCAGAGAGACCAGAGAGAGACCGACCAAAGAGAGACACCAGAGAGAAAACCACAGGAGAGAGACCTTTAAGAGACTAGAGAAAGAGAGAGGCCAGAGAGCGAGAGAGAGAGATCAGAGAGACCAGCGAGAGAGAGAGACCAGAGAGCGACCTTAGAGATAGTACATTTTACAGATGGACAGACTCATTATTTAAAGATGTGGAACACAACAGTTAAGTTTCTGTTCTAACTTGCTCTATCAACCTCACGCTAGCATCATAAGCTACATTTAGCTTGTATTTCTAAGTTTGGTGAAAGTAACTTCAAAGTAATGCAGAAGTAGAGTAATGCTTTACAATTCAGAGACAGTGATATTGTAAAGTAGCAGATTACTTTGAGATAACAGGAACAAGTAATGTGTTTCTGATTGGTTCCTCTCTGATGCAGGTGGGTCTAAGGACAGTGATGGCCCGGGACATTTTCAACAAAAGGACTCACTGGGGACTCTTGCACATGTATTCCAATGTGGTTTTACTGCAAATGTCTAAGAATCTGAATCATGCCTGCGTTGCCTGTGTCTCTGCAGGTGTCCTGAGCCGGATCCTGGTCCCCGGCCCGGACTACCCGTTCGTCCTGGCGTTCTGCGGTGGGTCCAGCCCCCCCCCGGTCTTCTCCAGTGAGTGTTTTCTGCCTCAGCTCCTCTCTAAGCGGCAGCAGCGGGGGCCCATGCTCTTCACAGCTAATCACTGATGCAATGCCAAAGAGCTAATTCTGCGTTCAACTCTGCTCAGCTCTATTCATGGGCTTTCACGGCTGTTTGGGGGGGGGGGGGGCCTCAGGGTGGGCTCCAGGGCTTTAGAACACCCCCCCAGGGCCCCTGCTATTTCATTGGCACACACACAGTTTAGCGGAGCAAATATGCAGAGCTAATAAACATCTGTTCTTTGTCAAGAAGGTTATTGGATCAGAAACTGTGGTGATTCAAATCTAATTCAGATGTCATTAAGGCGATAGACTTACATTTTTTTGTGAGCATGAAGGGCTTTGTTTCTACTGGTTAGCTAAGAGAGAGACCAGAGAGAGAGACCAGAGAGAGAGACAAGAGAGAGACCATAGAGAGATAGATAAGAGAGAGACAAAAGAAAGATCAGATACAGATCAGAGAGACCAGAGACTAGAGAGAGACAAGAGAGAGACCAGAGAGAAACAAGAGAGATAACAGAGACCAGAGAGACACAAGAGAGACTAGAGACCAAAGAGAGAAGACAAGAAAGAGACCATAGGGAGACTAGAGGGGGACCAGAAAGAGACAAGGGGGAGACTAGAGAGACTAGTGAAAGAACAGCGAGAGACCAGAGAGATAACAAAGACCAGAGAAAGACAAGAGAGACTAGAGAGAGACAAGAGAGAGACCAGAGAGGGATCAGAGACCAGAGAAACAATTGAGAGAGACCAGATAGGGATCAGAGAGAGAGGCAAGAAGGGGATGAGAGAGAGAGAGAGTTTCTTGTCCGAGAGTGTGGGAACAGGTGACAGCACATTTACAGCTTCGAACACAACATTATTTATAAAACCATCTCTGTCCTTAATTAAAAAGTTATTAGTCATCAGATTTGACAGTGATGATCCCTATCCACTTACACACACAAAATGATACGGTCCCGAATGTGTCGTGTTGGCCGATACTTTCCCACAGCGCCTGGCAACACAACAATGGCGTTTGGAAAAGCCGTGACCAATCGCCACATTCACTCCAGCATCCACACGCGACCTCTCCGCGATTTCTCACTGCAGCAATGAACTCCAATGAACACAAAACCCCCTGGCCATCTCAGAGCAGCGAGGGCCGGACAGGAACATCCCCCGGCCTTTGTGTGGCTAAAGACCCCGGCGAGCCCCGTCCCCCCTCCTCTCCCCTGTCCCTCAGAGCTCATTCCTGCCCATTGGGGTCCCCTCTTGACGACAACATAAAGCATTCAAAGCAATTGACTTTTATAGACTTATTCGAGCTCATCTTCGCATACAGACTGCCTCCATACCTGCAGGAGAAAAGATTTAGTGTTGGGCCAGTGAACCAGCGAGTAAGGGTATTTCTATTGAGGCCTTGTGGTGGGGGTTCCTCAGGGTTCTATGGTGGGGCCGCTGGAGGAGACACACATCGTGCCCAGAGATGACCCGGTAATCAGCTCTTTAAGGCCAAAGCATTCAGCTCCAATAGAGAAGTGAGAGGCATGTCCAAACCGGTTATGGTCTCCTCGCGGTGGTCCCTGTGCACATTTGTCCTACAGATTAAAAAGGCATCTGTGAATAGAAGGATAAAGTGTCGGCCTTGACTTTTGTTGTGCGTGCACCTGAGAGTGAAGCACCGTGGGATTGCTCCTCACAGTTCAGCAAATCCTCTTTTCTCTTTTGACTCGTCGTCCCATTCTCCTCCGTCACCCCGAGTTTGTTAAAGCGGAGCATCGGAAGAGGGCCGTCAAGTGTGACAAAACTCAACATCATCTTATCGCGAAAAGAGGAAACACTACTGGACTTTCATGGACTGTAAGCCGCACCGACTACGTTTGAAAAGAAAATTGGTAACACTTTACATTACGGGCCGGTAAGTCCATGGTACTTACAGTGGTACTTCTAGGTACTTACAGTGGTACTTCTAGGTACTTATTGTGGTACTTACAAAGGTACTTACAGTAGTACTTACAGAGGTACTTACAGTGGTACTTCTAGGTACTTATTGTGGTACTTACAGAGGTACTTACAGTGGTACTTCTAGGTACTTATTGTGGTACTTACAGAGGTACTTACAGTGGTACTTACAGAGGTATTTACAGTGGTACTTCTAGGTACTTATTGTGGTACTTACAGAGGTACTTATTGTGGTACTTACAGAGGTACTTACAGTGGTACTTCTAGGTACTTATTGTGGTACTTACAGAGGTACTTACAGTGGTACTTCTAGGTACTTATTGTGGTACTTACAGAGGTACTTACAGAGGTACTTACAGTGGTACTTACAGAGGTACTTAGAGGTACTTACAGTGGTACTTCTAGGTACTTATTGTGATAATTCTAGATACAGCTGTAACTTAGTAATTCAAGGATACTACAGCATTATTCCTATGTAGTAAATGTGGTACTTCTACATACATACATACAGAGGTCATTTGTAGGATTGTTTGACTATAAAACATAAAACAACATTATGTAAAACAAACGTCTTTATTAATATGGAATAAGTAGCACAGAAAGGACAGTATAAATACATTTAATGCATATTTCAAAACAAGTTTCAAGGACAAGGGAAACACTGCAAGAACTAGGTACCCAACCCAAGTAACAAGAATTACACATTTACACACCAGTAAGACTTGGCAGCAAGTACCAGGTACTTGGCAGCAAGTACCAGGTACTTACCAGCAAGTACCAGGTACTTACCAGCAAGTACCTGGTACTTACCAGCAAGTACCTGGTACTTACCAGCAAGTACCTGGTACTTAACAGCAAGTACCAGGCAGCAAGTACCTGGTACTTAACAGCAAGTACCAGGCAGCAAGTACCAGGTACTTGGCAGCAAGTACCTGGTACTTGGCAGCACAGTAAGTACCAGGTAGTACCTGGTACTAGCCAAAGACAAAGGACTTGGCCACATACAAATGACTTGGTAATATGTCAAAGACTTCACCATAAGTACCAGTGATAACACCAGTAATTATACAGCAAGTACCAGGTACTTACCATAGGAACTGGCCCATAATAAGACAAAGGACTTACCCATTTCAATTTGGAGAGACGAGAAACGAAAATGGTTTTGAGTATTTATTGAGGTGGTTTGGCGCCCTAGGCCCCGGTGCGGCCTTCAGATCGGAGAGGCTCCTGCGATTGAGCGCGTACAATCCCCCGGGACCTAGGCACTGGTGGCGGCATTTTGGCAGATTGGAGGCAGATTGGAGGCAGATTGGAGGCAGATTGGAGGCAGATTGGAGGCAGATTGGAGGCAGATTGGAGGCAGATTGGAGGCAGGGTGAAGAGGAGGAGGAGGGGAGGCGGTGGTTGCGAGGCTTCGAGAAGGCCGAGAGTGGGAGTTGCTCCGCTTTTAAGCGGCTGCCTGTCCGGCACGGATGATTGGAAGGGGGCGTTTGCTGAGCAATAGGCTGGGGAAGCGAACCGGCCTGGAGGGGGTAACTTTTGGCTGACGTCTACCAAATTGAATTTTCGCGAGCTGCATAAGTACTAGTGATAGTGCCAGTAATTATATAGTATACCATGTACTTAACAGCAAGTACCAGGTACTTAACAGCAAGTACCAGGTACTTAACAGCAAGTACCAGGTACTTAACAGCAAGTACCAGTTACTTAACAGCAAGTACCAGTTACTTAACAGCAAGTACCAGTTACTTAACAGCAAGTACCAGTTACTTAACAGCAAGTACCAGTTACTTAACAGCAAGTACCAGGTACTTAACAGCAAGTACCAGGTACTTAACAGCAAGTACCAGGTACTTAACAGCAAGTACCAGGTACTTAACAGCAAGTACCAGGTACTTAACAGCAAGTACCTGGTACTTGCTGTTAAGTACATGGTATACTATATAATTACTGGTACTATCACTAGTACTTATGGGTAAGTCCTTTGTCTTATTATGGGCCAGTTCCTATGGTAAGTACCTGGTACTTGCTGTATAATTACTGGTGTTATCACTGGTACTTATGGTGAAGTCTTTGACATATTACCAAGTCATTTGTATGTGGCCAAGTCCTTTGTCTGTGGCTAGTACCAGGTACTACCTGGTACTTACTGTATAATTACTGGTGTTATCACTGGTACTTATGTTAAAGTGCTTTGTCTTATTATGGGCCAGTCCCTATGGTAATTACCTGGTACTTACTGTATAATTACTGGTGTTATCACTGGTACGTATGTTAAAGTCCTTTGTCTTATTATGGGCCAGTCCCTATGGTAATTACCTGGTACTTACTGTATAATTACTGGTGTTATCACTGGTACTTATGGTTAAGTCCTTTGTCTTATTATGGGCCAGTCCCTATGGTAATTACCTGGTACTTACTGTATAATTACTGGTGTTATCACTGGTACGTATGTTAAAGTCCTTTGTCTTATTATGGGCCAGTCCCTATGGTAATTACCTGGTACTTACTGTATAATTACTGGTGTTATCACTGGTACTTATGGTTAAGTCCTTTGTCTTATTATGGGCCAGTCCCTATGGTAATTACCTGGTACTTACTGTATAATTACTGGTGTTATCACTGGTACGTATGTTAAAGTCCTTTGTCTTATTATGGGCCAGTCCCTATGGTAATTACCTGGTACTTACTGTATAATTACTGGTGTTATCACTGGTACTTATGGTTAAGTCCTTTGTCTTATTATGGGCCAGTCCCTATGGTAATTACCTGGTACTTACTGTATAATTACTGGTGTTATCACTGGTACTTATGTTAAAGTCCTTTGTCTTATTATGGGCCAGTCCCTATGGTAATTACCTGGTACTTACTGTATAATTACTGGAGTTATCACTGGTACTTATGTTAAAGTCCTTTGTCTTATTATGGGCCAGTCCCTATGGTAAGTACCTGGTACCTACTATATAATTACTGGTGTTATGACTGGTACTTATGTTAAAGTCCTTTGTCTTATTATGGGCCAGTCCCTATGGTAATTACCTGGTACTTACTGTATAATTACTGGAGTTATCACTGGTACTTATGGTTAAGTCCTTTGTCTTATTATGGGCCAGTTCCTATGGTAAGTACCTGGTACTTGCTGTTAACTCATTGAATGCCAGCCTATTTCAGAACAGGTACTCCCACAGTGCCAGCCATTTCTGATGATTTTTACTGATTTTTCAAGACCCACAGAATATTGTGTACTATGACTATCTGAAATCCAACACATATTACCAAGTCATTTGTATGTGGCCAAGTCCTTTGTCTGTGGCTAGTACCAGGTACTACCTGGTACTTACTGTGCTGCCAAGTACCTGGTACTTGCTGGTAAGTACCTGGTACTTGCTGGTAAGTACCTGGTACTTGGCAGCAAGTACCAGGTACTTGCTGCCAAGTACCAGGTACTTGCTGCCAAGTACCTGGTACTTGCTGTTAAGTACCAGGTACTTGCTGCCTGGTACTTGCTGGTAAGTACCAGGTACTTGCTGGTAAGTACCAGGTACTTGCTGGTAAGTACCAGGTACTTGCTGTTAAGTACCAGGTACTTGCTGGTAAGTACCAGGTACTTGCTGGTAAGTACCTGGTACTTGCTGGTAAGTACCAGGTACTTGCTGGTAAGTACCTGGTACTTGCTGGTAAGTACCTGGTACTTGCTGCCAAGTACCTGGTACTTGCTGCCAAGTCTTACTGGTGTGTAAATGTGTAATTCTTGTTACTTGGGTTGGGTACCTAGTTCTTGCAGTGTTTCCCTTGTCCTTGAAACTTGTTTTGAAATATGCATTAAATGTATTTATACTGTCCTTTCTGTGCTACTTATTCCATATTAATAAAGACGTTTGTTTTACATAATGTTGTTTTATGTTTTAGAGTCAAACAATCCTACAAATGACCTCTGTATGTATGTATGTAGAAGTACCACATTTACTACATAGGAATAATGCTGTAGTATCCTTGAATTACTAAGTTACAGCTGTATCTAGAATTATCACAATAAGTACCTAGAAGTACCACTGTAAGTACCTCTAAGTACCTCTAAGTACCTCTGTAAGTACCACTGTAAGTACCTCTGTAAGTACCACAATAAGTACCTCTAAGTACCACTGTAAGTACCACAATAAGTACCACTGTAAGTACCTCTGTAAGTACCACAATAAGTACCTAGAAGTACCACTGTAAGTACCTCTGTAAGTACCACAATAAGTACCTAGAAGTACCACTGTAAGTACCTCTGTAAGTACCACAATAAGTACCTAGAAGTACCACTGTAAGTACCTCTGTAAGTACCACAATAAGTACCTCTGTAAGTACCACAATAAGTACCTAGAAGTACCACTGTAAGTACCTCTGTAAGTACCACTGTAAGTACCTCTGTAAGTACCACAATAAGTACCTAGAAGTACCACTGTAAGTACCTCTGTAAGTACCACAATAAGTACCTAGAAGTACCACTGTAAGTACCTCTGTAAGTACCACTGTAAGTACCTCTGTAAGTACCACAATAAGTACCTAGAAGTACCACTGTAAGTACCTAGAAGTACCACTGTAAGTACCATGGACTTACCGGCCCGTAATGTAAAGTGTTACCAGAAAATTAATGTTGGAGACACACAGGCCGCACTGGAATATAAGCCGCGGGTTTTCATGTTTAATGTAGCAGAGAGATGACTGTTTTTACTGGTTCCGTTCAGTTCAGTTTAATGTATTTTTGTATAGTGCTACATCACAACAGTTAAGATAACTCGGGGAACTTAAAAAAAACAGATCAGAGAATTGTGGATAATCAACCTCATAAAGACGGGATCTTTGCGCCACAGAGCCCAGAAGTTTATCCTCAGTTTCTTCAGTCTTTTCAGATTATTTCAGACAGAACATAATCAGGATATGGTTTATATAGTCAAAGTTTACGTCCCACATCTGTCATACATGGAAAAACATACGTGTCACATCAAGAGACAATCAGAACAAAAGACATCGAAAGAACATAACACGGACACACAATCATAGCAGATACACAATTGGGTCGTTGTGACCTACGCAAGGCCAGATCACTTCATAGCTACCTAATTCCCAGAGAATCTAACAGTTTAAATATTGGAAATGCAATGATTAAAAAACACATTGGTCCATAAGCGGCAGAGACCAATGTCCATAAATGTTATTGTTGTTAAATTGTTGAGTGTCCTGGATCATCCTCCTGCATCCGCGAGGAACAACTCCCATAGCCACTGGGAAAATGTGAGAAACCACAGGGAGGTCCACAGGGAGGTCCACAGGGAGGTCCACAGGGAGGTCCACAGGGAGGTCCACATTGAGCGAGGGATCTGCGTCCGGAAATCTTAATAAATGTCCATTGTTGAATGTTCTGGATCATCACCACTGCAGAACCTCTTACAACTTGCAACTTGGTAGAATCCATAAACTCTGTTCTGACAACTGTACAGCAATAATAAGACACATTAGCAATATAATCCATTGCTATATCATAAAAGTGTAAGAATAATTCAAAAAAAAAGTAGAGGCTTATTGTCCAGAAATTACACTACATTCATTCATTTTTTTCTTTTTTGGATTTTCTAGGATGGACCTTATTTTTTTTATTTTTTTTTAACATGATTATAGGCCTTTACCTAATGGTTGAGATGCAGTTTGATGGAAAAAGAGCCTAAAACAAGCAAAATTAGATGCCCCAAAGAGATATATAATAGCTCAAAGCTTCAAGTAGATATAAGGATCTAACAAATGGTTGAGGAAAACAAAAAAAGGTTAAAGTGGGTCTCCCTGAGGTTTTTCTCTCTGTTTCTCGGTGGTTTCTCTCTGACACAGGAGGCTCTAAGGACATTTATGAACATTTCTGGACATCATCCCGCTCTCTATGAACTATGGCTCTTACGTGTTTGTTATTATTGCATTTCCTGAGTCTGAACTGATTGATTCTCTGATCTGCTGTGAGTAAATCCACATTAGGTCCTCTGAAACAACTGCTGTTGTGATTTAGGGCGATACACAAACACATTAAACTGAAGTAGATTCAACTGAAAGGTGTTATGAGTCGAACCAAAGACATGAACAACTGTCTGACCTTGGGTTCTATTCCCTCAGAGAGTTCCAACCTTCCGTCTTGGGCTCCGGACAACAATCCTAAAGCTCGCCGAGGGATCCTGAGGAGAGCGGTGTTCTCGGAGGAGCAGCGGAAAGAACTGGAGAAAACCTTTAGACGACAGAAGTACATCAGCAAAACAGACAGGAACAGGCTAGCAGCAAACCTCAGCCTGAAGGAAGCACAGGTACGGTGTTAGGAAGCGAGTATAAAATCCCTAGCTTTAACATAATAAAGAAGCTAGTATAAAATCCCTAGCTTTAGCATAATAAAGAAGCTAGTATAAATCTCTAGCTTTAGCATAATAAAGAAGCTAGTATAAAATCCCTAGCTTTAGCATAATAAAGAAGCTAGTATAAAATCCCTAGCTTTAGCATAATAAAGAAGCTAGTATAAAATCTCTAGCTTTAGCATAATAAAGAAGCTAGTATAAAATCCCTAGCTTTAGCATAATAAAGAAGCTAGTATAAATATCTAGCTTTAGCATAATAAAGAAGCTAGTATAAAATCTCTAGCTTTAGCATAATAAAGAAGCTAGTATAAAATCTCTAGCTTTAGCATAATAAAGAAGCTAGTATAAAATCCCTAGCTTTAGCATAATAAACAAGCTAGTATAAATATCTAGCTTTAGCATAATAAAGAAGCTAGTATAAATCTCTAGCTTTAGCATAATAAAGAAGCTAGTATAAAATCTCTAGCTTTAGCATAATAAAGAAGCTAGTATAAATATCTAGCTTTAGCATAATAAAGAAGCTAGTATAAAATCTCTAGCTTTAGCATAATAAAGAAGCTAGTATAAAATCTCTAGCTTTAGCATAATAAAGAAGCTAGTATAAAATCTCTAGCTTTAGCATAATAAAGAAGCTAGTATAAAATCTATAGCTTTAGCATAATAAAGAAGCTAGTATAAAATCTCTAGCTTTAGCATAATAAAGAAGCTAGTATAAAATCTCTAGCTTTAGCATAATAAAGAAGCGAGTATAAAATCCCTAGCTTTAGCATAATAAAGAAGCTAGTATAAAAACTCTAGCTTTAGCATAATAAAGAAGCTAGTATAAAATCTCTAGCTTTAGCATAATAAAGAAGCTAGTATAAATCTCTAGCTTTAGCATAATAAAGAAGCTAGTATAAAATCTATAGCTTTAGCATAATAAAGAAGCTAGTATAAAATCTCTAGCTTTAGCATAATAAAGAAGCTAGTATAAATCTCTAGCTTTAGCATAATAAAGAAGCTAGTATAAATCTCTAGCTTTAGCATAATAAAGAAGCTAGTATAAAATCTGTAGCTTTAGCATAATAAAGAAGCTAGTATAAAATCTCTAGCTTTAGCATAATAAAGAAGCTAGTATAAAATCTCTAGCTTTAGCATAATAAAGAAGCTAGTATAAATATCTAGCTTTAGCATAATAAAGAAGCTAGTATAAAATCTCTAGCTTTAGCATAATAAAGAAGCTAGTATAAAATCTCTAGCTTTAGCATAATAAAGAAGCTAGTATAAAATCTCTAGCTTTAGCATAATAAAGAAGCTAGTATAAAATCTCTAGCTTTAGCATAATAAAGAAGCTAGTATGAAATCTCTAGCTTTAGCATAATAAAGAAGCTAGTATAAATCTCTAGCTTTAGCATAATAAAGAAGCTAGTATAAAATCTCTAGCTTTAGCATAATAAAGAAGCTAGTATAAAATCTCTAGCTTTAGCATAATAAAGAAGCTAGTATAAAATCTCTAGCTTTAGCATAATAAAGAAGCTAGTATAAATCTCTAGCTTTAGCATAATAAAGAAGCTAGTATAAATCTCTAGCTTTAGCATAATAAAGAAGCTAGTATAAAATCTCTAGCTTTAGCATAATAAAGAAGCTAGTATAAAATCTCTAGCTTTAGCATAATAAAGAAGCTAGTATAAAATCTCTAGCTTTAGCATAATAAAGAAGCTAGTATAAAATCTCTAGCTTTAGCATAATAAAGAAGCTAGTATAAAATCTAGCTTTAGCATAATAAAGAAGCTAGTATAAAATCTAGCTTTAGCATAATAAAGAAGCTAGTATAAAATCTCTAGCTTTAGCATAATAAAGAAGCTAGTATAAAATCTCTAGCTTTAGCATAATAAAGAAGCTAGTATAAAATCTCTAGCTTTAGCATAATAAAGAAGCTAGTATAAAATCTAGCTTTAGCATAATAAAGAAGCTAGTATAAAATCTCTAGCTTTAGCATAATAAAGAAGCTAGTATAAAATCTCTAGCTTTAGCATAATAAAGAAGCTAGTATAAAATCTCTAGCTTTAGCATAATAAAGAAGCTAGTATAAAATCTCTAGCTTTAGCATAATAAAGAAGCTAGTATAAAATCTCTAGCTTTAGCATAATAAAGAAGCTAGTATAAAATCTCTAGCTTTAGCATAATAAAGAAGCTAGTATAAATCTCTAGCTTTAGCATAATAAAGAAGCTAGTATAAAATCTCTAGCTTTAGCATAATAAAGAAGCTAGTATAAAATCTCTAGCTTTAGCATAATAAAGAAGCTAGTATAAAATCTCTAGCTTTAGCATAATAAAGAAGCTAGTATAAAATCTCTAGCTTTAGCATAATAAAGAAGCTAGTATAAAATCTCTAGCTTTAGCATAATAAAGAAGCTAGTATAAAATCTCTAGCTTTAGCATAATAAAGAAGCTAGTATAAATCTCTAGCTTTAGCATAATAAAGAAGCTAGTATAAAATCTCTAGCTTTAGCATAATAAAGAAGCTAGTATAAAATCTCTAGCTTTAGCATAATAAAGAAGCTAGTATAAAATCTCTAGCTTTAGCATAATAAAGAAGCTAGTATAAAATCTCTAGCTTTAGCATAATAAAGAAGCTAGTATAAAATCTCTAGCTTTAGCATAATAAAGAAGCTAGTATAAAATCTCTAGCTTTAGCATAATAAAGAAGCTAGTATAAAATCTCTAGCTTTAGCATAATAAAGAAGCTAGTATAAAATCTCTAGCTTTAGCATAATAAAGAAGCTAGTATAAAATCTCTAGCTTTAGCATAATAAAGAAGCTAGTATAAAATCTCTAGCTTTAGCATAATAAAGAAGCTAGTATAAAATCTCTAGCTTTAGCATAATAAAGAAGCTAGTATAAAATCTCTAGCTTTAGCATAATAAAGAAGCTAGTATAAAATCTCTAGCTTTAGCATAATAAAGAAGCTAGTATAAAATCTCTAGCTTTAGCATAATAAAGAAGCTAGTATAAAATCTAGCTTTAGCATAATAAAGAAGCTAGTATAAAATCTCTAGCTTTAGCATAATAAAGAAGCTAGTATAAAATCTCTAGCTTTAGCATAATAAAGAAGCTAGTATAAAATCTCTAGCTTTAGCATAATAAAGAAGCTAGTATAAAATCTCTAGCTTTAGCATAATAAAGAAGCTAGTATAAAATCTCTAGCTTTAGCATAATAAAGAAGCTAGTATAAAATCTCTAGCTTTAGCATAATAAAGAAGCTAGTATAAAATCTCTAGCTTTAGCATAATAAAGAAGCTAGTATAAAATCTCTAGCTTTAGCATAATAAAGAAGCTAGTATAAATATCTAGCTTTAGCATAATAAAGAAGCTAGTATAAAATCTCTAGCTTTAGCATAATAAAGAAGCTAGTATAAATATCTAGCTTTAGCATAATAAAGAAGCTAGTATAAAAACTCTAGCTTTAGCATAATAAAGAAGCTAGTATAAAATCTCTAGCTTTAGCATAATAAAGAAGCTAGTATAAAATCTCTAGCTTTAGCATAATAAAGAAGCTAGTATAAAATCTCTAGCTTTAGCATAATAAAGAAGCTAGTATAAAATCTCTAGCTTTAGCATAATAAAGAAGCTAGTATAAAATCTAGCTTTAGCATAATAAAGAAGCTAGTATAAAATCTCTAGCTTTAGCATAATAAAGAAGCTAGTATAAAATCTAGCTTTAGCATAATAAAGAAGCTAGTATAAAATCTCTAGCTTTAGCATAATAAAGAAGCTAGTATAAAATCTCTAGCTTTAGCATAATAAAGAAGCTAGTATAAAATCTCTAGCTTTAGCATAATAAAGAAGCTAGTATAAAATCTCTAGCTTTAGCATAATAAAGAAGCTAGTATAAAATCTCTAGCTTTAGCATAATAAAGAAGCTAGTATAAAATCTCTAGCTTTAGCATAATAAAGAAGCTAGTATAAATATCTAGCTTTAGCATAATAAAGAAGCTAGTATAAAATCTCTAGCTTTAGCATAATAAAGAAGCTAGTATAAAATCTCTAGCTTTAGCATAATAAAGAAGCTAGTATAAAATCTCTAGCTTTAGCATAATAAAGAAGCTAGTATAAAATCTCTAGCTTTAGCATAATAAAGAAGCTAGTATAAAACTCTAGCTTTAGCATAATAAAGAAGCTAGTATAAAATCTCTAGCTTTAGCATAATAAAGAAGCTAGTATAAAATCTCTAGCTTTAGCATAATAAAGAAGCTAGTATAAATCTCTAGCTTTAGCATAATAAAGAAGCTAGTATAAAATCTCTAGCTTTAGCATAATAAAGAAGCTAGTATAAAAAATCTCTAGCTTTAGCATAATAAAGAAGCTAGTATAAAATCTATAGCTTTAGCATAATAAAGAAGCTAGTATAAAATCTTAGCTTTAGCATAATAAAGAAGCTAGTATAAAATCTAGCTTTAGCATAATAAAGAAGCTAGTATAAAATCTCTAGGCTTTAGCATAATAAAGAAGCTAGTATAAAATCTCTAGCTTTAGCATAATAAAGAAGCTAGTATAAAATCTCTAGCTTTAGCATAATAAAGAAGCTAGTATAAAATCTCTAGCTTTAGCATAATAAAGAAGCTAGTATAAATATCTAGCTTTAGCATAATAAAGAAGCTAGTATAAAATCTCTAGCTTTAGCATAATAAAGAAGCTAGTATAAATATCTAGCTTTAGCATAATAAAGAAGCTAGTATAAAATCTCTAGCTTTAGCATAATAAAGAAGCTAGTATAAAATCTCTAGCTTTAGCATAATAAAGAAGCTAGTATAAAATATCTAGCTTTAGCATAATAAAGAAGCTAGTATAAAATCTCTAGCTTTAGCATAATAAAGAAGCTAGTATAAAATCTCTAGCTTTAGCATAATAAAGAAGCTAGTATAAAATCTCTAGCTTTAGCATAATAAAGAAGCTAGTATAAAATCTCTAGCTTTAGCATAATAAAG